TCATCAAACATTCACCACTTTGAGACTCAAACTCTTAACTCACTAGAGGTTCACTCCGACGACAATCACAACCTGAACATTTACTCCTTTGAGACTCAAACCCTAACCCATTAGTGGTTTACTCCAACAAGACAACCACAGCCCGAACATTTACTACTTTGATTCGAGCTCACCACGCTGAGACTCAAACCCTAACCCACTAGATCTAGATTTAGTAGTTCACTCCAACGACTAGCAGCACTCACCTCCGTTCGTCTGTCTCATCCATGGGTAGACGGGCATGTTTGGAGATCCCATCCCAGACATACAGGCCGGATTAGGCATCCCTGCGTTGTAACTGTTGGGGGAAACGCTGGGGTCGGGCATGCCTTGTTGGGGGTAGTAGTAAGAAGCCATGTGGGGCGGTGTGCACACATCTCCAGGCAGTCCTTTACAATCCAACATTCGGTTCTCGTAAAACAGTTCGGACCCATTGCCCCCTCCGTTCATATGATGGTAGGGTGAGTATTGATGAGCCATAGGAGGGGTGAGGGATGTGAGTGGGGGTGGGGGAGGTTGTTGCTGTTGTTGCTGTGGGTGTTGCTGTTGATGTTGGGACTGTGGAACGGGATGTTGTTCATGGTGGTGTGGGTGAGGGTGAAGATGCTGTTGTTGGTGTTGTTGTTGTTGTTGTTGTAGATGTTCTGAGAGCTGATCGTGATGGGGAGGAGGTCGGGGGTGGCCGCTGATGAGCATTTGTGGATGTTGCTGTTGTTGTTGCTGCTGTTGTTGCTGCTGTTGTTGCTGGTGGTGCGGATGTTGAGGATGAGGAGGGGGTGGTGGCCCGCCTCCAGAACCACCACTACCAGCAGCACCAGGGGTAGCAGCAACGTCTGGGTTTTGCTGCTGCTGCTGCTGCTGTTGCTGTTGCGGTTGCTGCTGCGGATGTTGCAGCGGTGGCTGGGGATGATGGTGCTGCTGGTGCTGCGGCGTGTGAGAATGGTGAGCGATTGGAGGCTGCTGATGACTATGCTGCTGCTGTGGCTGCTGTTGTTGAGGCGGTTGCGGCTGCTGATGTCCCGATATGTGATGATGTGGTGGAGGCTCTAGGTGTTTTATGCTCACGTTTACGTTGACCTCCTGGGCGTGCGGGGTTCGATTCTCCACTCTAGCGTCGTAGGAATACCTCATGTAGGAGGGCGAGTAGCTGGGAGAGCAGCTCTCGTACGTGATGACCCCGGGGTTGGAAGAGCCAGGGTTGACCCCCATGTTGCCGTGAGACAGGTACATGCCATCATATTTCCCGAGATTGTCGTACTTACCCCCGCTATGGTCACCATAAATACTTGTGTCCAGACTGATTATTCCGTTTTCGTCACTTCCTGGGAGCCCAGTGCAACTACCACCACTACCCCCTCCACCTCCACCACCACCCCCTCCTCCTCCTCCTCCTCCTCCATTGCCCAAAACAGTGGGCGAGATAGCCCCGGGAGGAGGGAGGATGTTTGCATAATAAGAACTCATTTTCATCTCTTCACAGAATTGAGTAGTCAATAGTCCAGATTCTAATAACGGAAAGTCGTTTTCAACTTCCCCCAGAAATAACGAGGGAAAACTCCGAGCACTCGTTTGATCCCGGTGAGATTCGAGATTCTCTCCGGGCGATTGTTCAGAAGATTGTTGAAGAGATAAAAGTGAGCACAGGATTTGCTTCTCGTCTGAGACACTCGCCTCTGATTATAATCGTTCGCTCGTAAATATCCTCATATCGGAAATGGACGAGTCATCGAAAAATCACACTCTCCAGCGCTACCCGCTCACAAAACTGTTTAAGTCCAGGAAGATTGGAATATTCACACGCGAAAAATCTAAGTCCAAATCTTGCACAAAATCACAATAAAGTATGGTTCACAGCGGAGTTTAGTCGACATATTATTACCCCACAAATCGATGAAGTATAACGTTGAGTGTAAGTTTATTTCACAATTTCGAAGTCCATCCGAAAATCCAGAACAGCTTGCAAATGTCGTAATCAAGATCTAACAAGAAACGTACTTGTCCTTTATTGTAATGATCTTTATCGTCCTCCCAAGGACTGTTCGGGTGACAATTGTTCCGTAATTACATCAAATGGTCTCCACCGTCGTTAACTGTTGCATGGTGGTGCTTCCTCTCTAATTCTCCCGAGCTGTAAAAAAATCATCTCCCTGTCACATCACAAAACGACACATTAGTTTTAATGTCTTCACATGAGGAGGAGGCTTCTGGCTACCATTTGTTCTTCCTCCTCGCTGAGGACACGCAGAAGAATAAATGACAGAGAAGTACTGGAGAAGAGGGAGGGGGCGGAGTGGTTGCCCCCGCGCGCGCGCACGTTAAGAGGGAGAGTGAGACACACACACGCATACACTCTACGAGACTTCTGTAGTCTGTAACAACAAACTCCTGGCTACAATTCTCCTCCTCTCTTCACTCTTCCCTCTCTCCTGCTCTCTCTCTCTCTCTCTCTCTCTCTCTCTCT